TGGTAGTACGTACGAGACGACATATATTATTATATATATATATATATATATATATATATATATATATATATATATATATATTTTACCACTCATAATCAAAGACAGATAGAGAGAGAGAGAGAGATAGACTAAACTGGTTCATTGTGGGTAGGTCCTTGAAGATAGATAGAGGCCCTGCAATGTAGAGATGAGGAAATGGGGCGGACAGAGAATGCTCTGCAGCGAGAATGGGAGAGGGAAGAGAGAGAGTGGAGAGGTTTTGAGAGAAAGTTGCAGGGTTTGGGGAGAGGTGGGCTGCGAAAGAAGGTGAGGAGCTGGGAGAGAGAAGCACGATGGTCGATGAGTTCGGAGATGGAGAAGTGAGAGTGGGAAGGATTAAAACGTTAGTTTCCCACACAAGCCTGCTTCCCACCCAACTTGGGGATAAAAGGGATTTCAAGTTTGACCCTATGGAGAAGAAGTTGCACTACCCCATTTTAAAGGGTATGGAAATTTCTAAGTCAATCACGTGCCATTCAAGTGAAACAAAATCCATGTCAAAAGAATCAAACAAATTTTCTTCTACTCCTATTTCACATATTGAATTTTGATTAAGATAAATCAGAATTAGAAAACCCCTGACTCACCGTTCATGGATGCGACTACCTGCCTTTCATGGGTGAACTAGAAATCTCAAGTACCACACACAAAAAATTTTGAAGGGAGTTTAATGTTAGGCTATACCCAAGGTTAATGAGAGACAGCAACGTTAAAAGGACCCTGTTGTCTAAGTTGCAGTCTAATAAATTTATTTGCTTATTTATCAATTTATACGTGCTATTTTTTTAGCTAGGTTTGGCTAGGCTTTCACGCCTTAACCATCAAGATTCAAGGCAAGGTTGAAATTGCAATCTTCTTTCTTTAGCGATTGCAGCTTGATTATTTATATTTAGAAATAAAATTCTCCAATAAACTTACAAACACAATAAATATATTTCTATAGTCATTATCTAATGAATATGAAAAAGAGGAAAACCAACTGCATAATAAAAGAAAAACAGCCTAAACATAAGAAAGAATGTATGCCCATCAGAAAATGAAAAGATTCAACAAGGAGAAATAGCACAATCTATTCCAATCCTATTTCACATACTTAATTTTGACTTAATCTTACCAGCAACATGTCAATATAAAAAAAATGAAAAGTAATAGCACGGTTAGGGTTTTAAAATAAAGAAAAAGGTCTTACCTGTTGGGACGGTGATGCAAATCACCCTATTTGGTATTCCCCTTTTATTTGGGCTGTGTTTGATAATGATAACTTTCTATGCAGTTTCCCCGGAAAATCCCAGTTGCTAACTTTCCAAGAATCTAGGAAGATAGTGAAAATTGGTAGCCTGAATGCTGGGAAGCCTTTTTGATAAACTATGGTGCTGGTGTTTTCACATGTTAGGTATTGGGAAAGATAGAAATTGCATGTCTTAACTGTTTATTATATATTTTATTGATTGTATGTGTAAAATGCATATTTTGAATAAGATTTTCTTGTTGCAACCCATCTAATGCATTTCTTATAAAATGTACCATTGAGATTGAAATTTGTTCTTATATTTATGTAATTTAAGAGTGGAAGACATAAATCGAAGTTGCAATCACACCAATACATCACAAATGCTTTCAAAATTATCGGACTCATGTTTTAGAATTTAGACATTATTGGAAGCATAAATCATGCAAATGCTTCAACAGAAGGAGGTGCAAATCCCTATTGTATCAGGTGCACTATAGTTTTAAAAAGGTATGTCACAGCCTAAAATAAAAGTAATAAACCCAAAAATGTCATAAATAGACCTATGAATTAAAGGAATACGCCATTTCTTCATAACTTGTGATCTTGCAATTCTAATTGAGATACCAAATGCATAGCCTTAACACTCCTAATAGCCCCTATTCAGTTACAGAAGGGATACCCAGAGTTACTTCAAAACCATACTTCATAATCCACCCCACAGTTCACTATTTGCAGCTTGCACACTTAAATAAAAGGGTTTAGCCCCTAGAAGAATACACATAAAAATGATACCTTTTTCAAATTATTTGAATGGAAGCATACACATGGTAGTATATCAGTTTACACTTTCAAACCAAACCAAAACAAGTAGAGGCCCAAGAGATACTAGTATTTCCCAACCACACTAAATGAAGGAACTTCATTCATCCAATCAAAACATGTCAATGAAGTTTCTTTATTGGGCATAACAGAGAAAATTATACATAAAACATCTCAAAAACAAAAGACTAAAGGAAAAAGGAATGAGAATCCTTATTTGGATCCTAAGAAACTACCCATAAATTGCAGCAAGGAATTTAAACTGAGCGGCAAAAATCAAACAACTCGGGGGCACATTCTCCACCATAAATTGAGTGGCATAACTAAAAACACGGGTGGTAAAATTTATATCCAAAATAGAGAAATAAAAATGAAGATTCACCGTATTAGAAGATCCAAACATATAAATTGCAGCAAGGAATTTAAGCTGTATGATTTTCTTATATTTGTTTTTGCAGCAAGATCAACTTATTTCCTGAAAATTCAGGGGGAACAAATCTTGTTTTTTTTTATAAAGTTAACTGTAGGGGGGAACAAATCTTTACAACCCCTGAATCCTAGTTCATCATGAAATGCAATACATTTCACATAGATTAATCAGCATGCAACCAAAAAACTCAGCATGCAAGCCCTACAATCAGAAGCTCTGAGATCACCAAGACGATTATACAGAAAATGCCAAAGTGAAATCACTCAAAAAATAAAGCTCCAAAAAAAAAACACAAAAAAACAAAAAACCTAATCCACAAGCCAAACCCTATATTCTTAAAACATAAGACCCTGAAATTCCCGATATCCAGTAGCTCTGTGACCACTAGGTCCTATTCCCAGATCCCAAACCCTATGTCATCCAAAACCCGGTGACATTGCCTATATATCAGAGCATACAAGCTCTAAGAATTATGTAGGCAAAGATGATAGAGATTCAGCAGAGAGACTAGGAATTTGCAGAAGAAGAACAGCACTTTGCTTGTTTTTAGAGAGAGAGGGTTCGATGGAGAATTTAAGGGGGCATTGTGAATGTGGTGCGGGGACTAAAATGGGAGCCATTTTCTTGGTGGTCGAAACCATTCAACAACGTTGCAAACACATGATAGTATATCAATTTACACTTTCAAACCAAACCAAAACAAAGTAGAGGCCTAAGAGCTACTAGTATTTCCCAACCACACTAAATAAAGTAACTTCATTCATCCAATCAAAAAAATTCAATGAAGTTTCTTTATTGGGCACAACAGAGAAAAATATATATAAAACATCTCAAAAACAAAAGATAAAAGGAAAAAGGAACGAGAATCCTTATTTGGATCCTAATACACTACCCGTAAGTTGCAGCAAAGAATTTAAACTGTGCGACAAAAATAAAACAGCTCAGGGGTAGTATCTCCACCCATAAATTGAGTGGCATAACTAAAAACATGGGTGGTAAAATTTATATCCAAAATAGAGCCATAAAATGAAGAATCATAATATCAGAAGATCCAAACATATAAATTGCAGCAAGAAATTTAAACTGTATGATTTCCTTTTATTTTTTTTGCAGCAAGATCAACTTATTTCCTGAAAATTCAGGGGGGGGGGTGTGGGGGAGAAGGGGAAATCTTTACAACCCCTGAATCCTCGTTCATCATGAAATGCAATACATTTCCCATAGATTTATCAGCATGCAAGCCCTAAAATCAGAAACTCTGAAATCACCAAGAGGATTATACAAAAATGCCAAATTGAAATCACTGAAAAAATAAATCTCTCAACAACAAAAAAACTAATCCACAAACCAAACCTTATTTTCTTAAAACTTAAGACCCTGAAATTCCCAATATCCAATAGCTTTGTGACCACTAGGTCCCATTTCCCAGATCCCAAACCCTAATTCATCCAAAACCAGGAGGCACTGCCTATATATCAGAGCATACAAGCTCTAAGAATTATGTATGCAAAGATGATAGAGATTAAGCAAAGAGACCATAAATTTGCAGGTGAAGAACAGCACTTTGCTTGTTTTTAGAGAGAGAGGGTTGGATGGGGAATTTATGGGGGCATTGTAATGTGGTGCGGGGATTAAAACGAGAGCCATTTTCTTGGTGGTTGAAACCATTCAACAACTTTGCAGCACTAAGGTTGCATTTGATAACTTCCTCTGCAATAACCTTGTGATTCTCTCTGCTGCTAGCTTTCCTGGAATATGGGAAGAAAGTGAAACCCTGTTTCATAAACTGTGGTGCTGCTACTTTCATCAGTTTAGTAGTGGGAAAGCACAAAACAACTTGTTTTAACTTTTGATTATGTATTTCATTGATTTGATGCGCAAAATGTATATTTTGAAATCAGCTCATAGTTTTGGATATATTTGAAACCTAAACTTGCAAATGTTAAGATGCGAAAAATTACAAAAATAGCCAAGCAATCAAACAAAAAATAGATGAATAACATATCAACGAGGTTGCCAACTATTAGCAGATCATTAAAAACTAGAATCAGATCACACCACCAAAACACACGATAGAATTCCTCCTCATCCTCAACAACATATTAAAAAAAGAATGGCAAACGAAGCAAATGAACAGCACTCCGAAAGAGGCAAAAAAGAATCAACCTCACAACACAGTGAAAAAATTAAATTAAATTACCAATATGAGCAAGGCCATTCATGGATGAACGGCATGCCATTCAATACAACAGTTAACTTACAAGTAAAAAATAAAAAATAAAAAATTCCACTCATGGTAAAAAGACCAAAAATGCAGAAAAGTTGAACAAAAAAACTAAGAAACTAGACAACAAACATGTGAATGATTCTTCAGTTAAATGAGTAGAATAGACGAACTTGACCATGTTAAAGTTGGGTATTAATATTCCGTATAATCTCTTTAACAGAAAAACCGAAAATTAGATTAGGGTATTCTCAAATGTAAAACCCTGTTAAACTTCTAGAGAGAGATCAATGAAACCTCCAACCACAATGCGGAGAGATAGATCAAAACCATCTCAAAGTTCTAGAGAGAGACTCAAACCCATTTGAAGATTCAATAATATCTAGAGGCAACACAAAATGAGGCTGAGAAAAGCCGGTCTCAAAAATTGTAGGACACCAAGACCAAGAGAGAAAGAGGGAGAGATGGATGAGCGTACCTCGGTTCCTGGATGGCTAGAGCGACAAGGAGAGGGTGAACTTTCGGCGGGGCGGGGCGGGGCGGCGAGGAGAAGAGAAGTTACGGGGCTGTGTCTCTGTGGGCCGAGCAGCAATGGTCGGTTGGACTGAACAAGGGTTTTAACTTCCAATCTTCTAAAAAATGTTGCAGCTCAGGGGCTCCGATGGTCCGCCACATTACTTAATGGAACAGTGGAATGGGAAAACATAAGTTCTCAGTTATATTGTTATCAAACAGGTGAAAACTACGTCCATAGAAAAGTCCGAGCCTTTGCCCTTCTTTTCTCCGCACCCTATTAATGGCCATATCCCAGCAAGTCCCAGGCTTTCCCTTGTTTTCGACCCCGATTGCAATTAAATAAAACAAAATACATACTCAAATACGAAAAACAGTTGTCCGTTCAAAATGCTATCTTATATACACCAATGAAATAAAAATTAAAAAAATAAAATTAATCAAACTTCTCTATATATAAAAAAAGCAACAAAATATTTAAGTAAATTCGAATCTCACGCTGAATTCCTAGCTGCTTAAATCTTTATTATACAAAGTCTCGAAGCAGATTCTAATCTCACAACAAATGCTCTTTATAAGGATGCATTGGGTTTAAAGAAGAAAAAAAAACATTTTTCATTGTATTAGTCTTCTAATACGATTGTTATGCTATCTTGTTTTTTGGGGAATATATTGTTTGTAATTTTTTGTCATACTTTTTTTAAGAGAAGTTATTGGCGAAGCGTTTTATGGATTTTTATTTTAAATCAAGATTCTTAATTTACTCGTACTATTAATTTGTTTTTCTTTAAATAAAAAGTCAATAATATTAAGTTAATAAAGAAATAAAGTTATAGAGAATAAGTTTTTTTGAAAAAAGATAAAATACGGGTTGATATCAGTTCCATGAAAAAATCGCGATTTGTTGGAGATTTTTTGAAAAAGTCAGAGTTCTAAACGGATTTCAGATTTTTTGAAAAAATCGTGTTTTAAATGGAGACTTGCAAACTATGGTAGTAAGGGACCCTGATTACATCTCTCTATCTCTCTAACAAGGATAGAAATGTGTGGTCTAGGTAATTTGTTAGAATATACACTATTTTTAGAGCTTAAAATTCTAATTTTTTTTTACAATCATAATGTTCAAGTCGAGAGGATCGATGTAAAGGTTTTTCCGAATTGCAATTTTTGATTTGGTGAGTTCCATTTTCCCTCTAACAACATAGTCAGCAAATCTAAAACCTCGGGTAGGGTTAGTAGCTTATTTCAATTGGTGAGGAGATGGGCTGGGAAGAGAGTGAGTCGAGTAAAGCTGGTTATCATCCTATCCTGAAATATTTTTCCCAGTCTTTTAAAATATATTTACCCCCGCTCTCTCTTTCTCTCCGTTCAACAGACACCTTCTACTTCTCTTTCCTGCACCCAATACCCACACTCTCTCTACACGCTCCCATCTTTTCTGTAATCTAATCTGCTACCTGCCATCTCTGACCCTCAATATTCTACACCAGCACTTAATCTCTCGTTCTCCCATATGCAATGTACAGTCATTTATCTTCCCTACTCTACAGCAAAACCTTCATTATGATTCCATATTGAGAATCCATCTACACAGCAGTACAGTGTAGGAAAAATTGTGCGGTTCAAATTCTAACCCCCCTGTTGGATCGGAATCGTCGATTATTCCAGTTTCAAGTGGTTTTGGAGAATAGCCTAGGTATTTTAAAAAAATAAAAAATAATATATAAAATCTTAAAAAATAAGAGATTTTGTTTGTAATACTTTTTTTTTATATGTTTTTTATCATTTTGGTAAAGATTGAAAAAAAAATTGGCCCTTAATACATAATTTTATATTTTTTTATATTTTTAAAATTTTAAAAAATACCTTTCTACACAAATCGATTTTTTAAAATTCATTTTTTTTCATTAGTTTCAACTTTATTTCAATGTGCTTTATAATTTTTTTTTTTTACCGCCTGGGACTTGTTTGGTTAGGCCGGTTGAACAGCTTCTAGCCCTTAGATTCGATTTTTCCTACATTGGAGGACAATCCCTCGGTTAGAGTTTTTGAGAGAAATTGATAGAAATAAAAAACAGAGTATTGCCCCAAAACTAATGAAGATGGTCATATAAATGCTGGAATTGCACTCGACAGAGAACGATCGGAAGGCACAGCATCTCATTCTTTGATCTCCATCGCCATGGAATGGGGGAGAATCTAGAGAGAGAAACAGCAAGTCATGATCTGAAAATGATTTATTAGAGGAATTCTCGTAACCCCATCTCTATCCATGCTGATTCAACCCTAAAACCTTTTCAGTTTTTGTATTTATTTTTTTATGAGATGATGATCCATCATATCGATGCCACTTCCGGTCATGGATGATGAGCCTGATAGATCCTAGAGGCTAACCCATCGAGATTGCAACATCTTCTTATCACAGAGCAGGGAATAAAGGTTTTTTTTCCTTTTTCTCCATGGAAGCTGTAAAAGGAGATCTCTACCAAGACGTTAGGGCCACTGGTTCGCTTGCTCTTCTTTTCGTATCTCTCACTCTTCTCCCGTTCATTTTCCCTTTGCGTCTTGTTATTATTTGCAATGCAGAGACAACATCGGCAAAACACTCGAGAAAAAGGCCACTTAAGAGCCACTAGCGAGTCAGTCCGAGATTCACATAAACATATTTAAAACACACACACATGATCATTCCCCTTCATCTTGTGGAACATGAGGTTAGCTAGCTTACTGCTTTTCATATCTCAGCTTTATTTGTTATTAATTATTCGTAATTAATAATTATAATAAATTAATTATAACTATTATTACTTTTGTAGGGTCTCTGAATAATAATTCTAATTAATGAAATTAAGTTTTACATCTTAATGCATATTTCATTTACCGGTTGGTATTGCTTAAATGGTGCTCATGCACCTTTTAGAGGTTCAAATTGAACCACGTTAATCATAGGGCCAATAATGAAAATCATTTTTTATTTTTTATTTTTATTTAAAAATAATACTGATCTGAAATTTTGGTTTAGGCCATTTTCATAAGTAAAACTGAATATAATAACAAAAACATTTTAAATAAAAAATATCAACCAAAATAAATTTAGAGGTATTTTAGTTATTTTATTTAAAATATTTTTATAATTTTTATTTAGTTATATTTGTAAAACTACACTTTATAAGGTCCAGGACTTTTTCGATCATTGATATTGTTTACATCTTTAATCGTTTCCTACTAGTGCTTACCTCAGAGTTCCTTTTCGATTTGTTGGATAACCTTTGTCTTGAGTTTTGAGTGGTATCGTGTTATTATGGGGATTGCGAATTTTCTGACAGTACGAAAATCGCTCAGACCCAAGCTACCATCAAAAAGTCGTACCTCAAATATTTTTTCGTACGCATCCCAATGCATCGTGCACGTATCCCCATGCATACACAAACTCTTATGTGCATGACTCTCATCCCAATGCACATGATTACACATGCACTCTCTCTCCTCATGCATAATCAATTGAGTGTCATGTGACATATGCGTACTTTCACCCCCATCATTGTGTTTCTCATGCATACATTCTCTCTCCTCATGCATAATCACTTGAGTGTCATGTAGCACATGCATGCTTCCACCCCTATCATGATGTTCCTCATGTATGCATTTTCTCTCCTCATACATAATCATTGGAGTGCCATGTGGCACATGCATGCTCCCACCCTATCATTGTGTTCCCCATGCATGACTCCATAACAGTATGATAGCATGACACAAAAATATATAATTACATGATAATATTAACACATGAAATATGACCACATGAATGCATAATACATGCCATGATATGCATACTCACATTAATACATTAATACACATGACATAACTATATGATGAGATATTATACATACATAACTTACATGACCTCTACCAACATGTCACCTTGCTGCATCATGCTTATATATACCCCCCATCCACTAATAATTAGGTTTTACTTGCTCTCCTCAATCCTTCACTCCCTCACGTACCCATCTTTTCCCCTTATTTTTCTTCTTCTCCCTTAGCCATTAAACTCCACCAAGCTCATTAACCCCATAAGCCTTAAATCTTTGAAGCTTGAATCCAATCTACTTGAAGCTCGAATCATCTTAGGGATTTCGATTGGAGTAAAGAAAGCAGAATTAGTTTTCTATGGTTTTATTCTTATATTAATACATGTTTCTTTACTTAATTTAAATGTAAAATTCAAGTGTATGTGTATGTGAGTGTGGGTGAATGCTTACTAAAATTCTGTTAAAATGTATTCTGATTTCCAGAATTGTGGTCCATGTTTGAGTAATTGTTAGGGTACCTTAAACCTTACATTAGACCATGAATCTTGGTGGGTCAGTAGGATGTTGAATGTATTTCCACATGGAAAAGACCACTTGTAAATATATCATGTAATTTGAAAGCTACTAACTATTTGCGGAAGCATGCCAGATCTGTGAGCTAAAAATCCAAGGATTTGACATGCCTCTATGTGAATCTTTTGATTGACCAGAATTGACTAGAATTGGATGAAACCACTTTGAAATGTTAGATAAATGAGTCTAGATAAATTTTGTTTTTGGTATCATTATGACACTCACTGTAGTCCGAGAGTAATGATTATTTTTCTAGTATAATATGTTATGTAGTTTCTACTGCATAGAACATAAGTTACCCCCAGAAGAATCATATAGTTTGACAAGCCTCGGTCTATTTTCTAATGTTACTCCCACATGAAAGTTGCACATTTCTAAGTCTAGTTTTCACAAAGCTATACCTTATGAGTAAATTCCATATATTACGAATGTTAGGGCCTTTTTACTAGAGGGTGTTCAATTGTGGTTTCTGCTGCAGGGCAGAAAGTTCACTCCCGGAGGATCAAGTGAATAGACCCATTTAGGTCGATAATTTTGTACTTATTCTTGAACAAGATTTGTATAATTTTGAGTCTATTTTATTTGGAATAAATCTCATAATTTAATGTTAGATAAGTTTAAAGTTATGTCCAAATAAGCACATTGTGCTCACTTTGGAAGTCCAAAAAATTTAGCGGGATTGGACCCTACCCTCGTCACATCTTGATATAGTGCATGTGTATAAGTAAGATGCTAATTGTTGTACCTGATACGCCTTTGAGACGATACTTATTATGTATGACATACTTCTGATATGATTTGTGTGCATAAGAAGCGTGACTCTTGTCAATTAGGTGATATACCTCTTGATAAGAATAATTATGTGACATGCTCCTAATTATTCATGATATGCCTCTATTATATGATATGTGTATGACAATATGTTTTTTATATGATTCTA